CTCATTAGAGATGAAGGATTTACTTGAAAAGTTTTTGAAAGGACCACCAAAAGGAACTTCACCACTTAAATCATTGAAAGAAATATCCAAGTACGTGAGATGCTTGAGTTCCTCCATGGACTTGGGGATATTACTAGAAAGATTGTTGTGAGATAGATCAAGTTGCTCCAAGTTCAGCATCTTACCCACTGACTCCGGAATAGATCCTTGCAGTGCGTTATGTGTTAAAGAAAGATTGCTCAAGGTCTGTAAATCTCCTATTGTGTTTGGAATAATACCTGACAACCGATTGACCGATAGATCGATAAGAAATGCAAACTCCAGGTTCCCAATTTCTTGAGGTAGAGAGCCGGTCAAAATATTTGTAGATAGATTCAACTCCAGAAGACCTTTCAGTAGCCATAGGCTTGCAGGTATGGTGGAAGTCAATATGTTGGAATCGATCTCTAGATACCCTAGTGTAGTAATATTCCCTATGCACCCTGGAATAGCACCAGATATTTGATTTTCTGACAATGCCAATTTATATAAATTTTGAAGTTCACAGAAAGAGTCTGGGATAGATCCACTTATGTTATTGTGATAAAGATCTAATCCTTGAAGCTTTTGTAAATTCACCATGCTTGCTGGAATTGATTCTGCCAGGTCATTGTCAAATAGATCTAAATTGATCAAACTGGTGAGATTGCCAATTCTATTTGGAATGCTACCTCTGAGATCACAACTATGACCACGAAGATATTGAAGAGAAGTTGACAAATTTCCAATTGATAATGGAAGAGTGCCATTCAAAGGATTGTTGGAAATAGACAATAATTTTAAATGTCTACACTTTGTCAACGAAGTAATGAAGCTCAGTTCTGGAGATTCACTAATGAAATTGTTGTCTGACAAGACTAACCTTTCAATGAAGCGCAAATTCCCGAGGAAGTTTGGAATTGGTCCATTAAAGTTGTTCAGAGCCAGGAAAATTGTAGTGAGTTTAGAAGAATTTGCAATAGAAATTGGAAGCTTGCCTGAAAGTTGATTAATTGAAATTGAAATCACTAATAATGTTGAGATGTTGAAGAGTCTTGGGGGCATGAACTATATAAGTTATTATTGTCCAAATGAAGATGCACTAAGTGGTAGAGATTGCCAATCTCTTGTAAGATTACATCTAAAAAATTATAAAGTTCTCAAACTTTAAAAGAAAATTATAAAGTGCTCAAACTTTAAAAATGAACATCATTCTTTAAATTTCTGTATAAAAATACAAAGGACAAGTGTAGAACTTTTTTTAATATAATTAAGGCAATTTTTGGGGAAAATGTTTTGAATAATAATTTGTAGAAGAATGTATGATTAAGAAAGGGAAAAATTTTAGGTTTAAGTGCAGAATATTTTATTACGTGAATGCATGGTTGAAAATGAGTAAGGAGAAAAAAAGTTTTCAAATAATAGCAATCAAACAGGGGCTAAAGGTTACCAGATAGGTAGCATTCTTGAATCTCAACATATTGCAATGATGAAATGTTAAAGATACTGGCTGGTATAGAGCCATTAAGAAAATTATATCCCATGCTCAACAACTTGAGGTTATCCAGATTACCCAGCTCAAGTGGAATTGCACCTGTCAATTGTTAAATCAAAACAAGAGACTACAATTACCAAAATGTTGATATGAATAACATCAATAATTCTGTGAATGTAGATCTCTTCAAAAAAAAAATTATAGTACTAATGCAATATCAATCATGGTTCATTTACCGGACAAATCATTTGAACCAAGATACAAATTCTGAAGTGTCCTTATTCTCCCAATTTCTCCAGGAATGGATCCACTAAATTTGTTGAGAGACAAAGAAAGGTTCTCAAGTTGTAAACATTCCGATAGATTGGATGGAATTTCACCACCCAATTCATTTTTCGATAGAAGAAACCCTTGGAGTCTTGGGAGGCCATGGCATATGTGAAGAGGGAGATTACCAGTGAAGTTATTCCCTGTGAAAGCAAGAATTTCCATTGTCGATATGTTAAAAATCTGCAATGGTATTACACCAGTGAGACTGTTATTTTGTAATGCAAGTACTTTCAAGTTACGAAGATTTCCAATGTCTTCTGGGATTTTCCCTTGTAGAGGATTGAGAGAGAGATCCAAATACTGGAGCGTCGATATATTAGAGAGAGAAGGTGGGACGAAACCTGCAAAACTGTTATTACAAAGATCCAAAACTTGTAATTTAGTTAAGAAATGAATCCATGAAAGGATTTCGCCACTAANATTTTGATACAATCATATCTCATTCCATCGTATGTTTGTATACCAAATTGTAAATTGTAATATACATGTGGTACAACTAATTTAATTTTAGCAGATTCTTTTCTTTTCCTTTACCTTTTTGTGTTTGCCATTCATGACTATTTTAAATTGTACTAAATTAATTAATTATGTTTGATTCTCAATCTTTATGTCACTCTACACTTTACTCATCTTTTCAGTAGAATAGAAAGTAAGAAAAAATTCTTCTTTCGGTGGAATGGCTATTGAAAGACATTTCCTTTAAGCTCCATTAAAATTAAATTATTGGGAAAAATGTAATTTAGAAATAATGATTTTTTTTTTAAATGTGTGGTTAGAAAAGGGAAATTTTTTTATATTTACTTGTAATGTTATATTATTGAAAAAAGAGTAACTAGGATGAGGACGAGGTAACCAGCAAAGTACTCTACCATGTTCCCGCTGCATCTTATCCCTTCCCTCTACTGATTCTTTCAATTTGATACTATTATATGGCCCTTCAAGCCTGCTCATGCAACGACCAATTCGTTTAACTTCAACCTGTCTGTACTGCGCATTACATGTTTGACTAGTGATGTCAATGTGAACGACACTCGCCTAGATTTAAGAAGCTTGGTGGGGCAAAAATAAACTAAATTAAAAAACAATACATAATCCTCGTCCCAAATTGAGATAAGCTTGTGATCCATAATGAATCGAGACTAGACCTATACAAAAAGCAGGACAACGCATGCCCACAAGTGGGCCCTTTTGTATCTCTTTCATTGAGGATTGACTCGATTGATACCACTAATTATCTAGGTTGTTTTATTGATTACTTATAGGCATCATTTTCATCCCCATTCCTTTTCACCTCAAATTATTATTAAAAATTTGACTTACTAAAGAAAAAGTTACTTGAATATAACTTATAAGCCAAAAAAATTATATCAACAGAGGATAATTAACTTTAACCTAACAAGCAACAATGACTTGGTCTTCATAATCCCAGCTCTTGTCTTGGCAAAGAGTAGTTTTAAAAGTAAGAAAAAATTCTTCTTTCGGTGGAATGGCTATTGAACGACATTTCCTTTAAGCTCCATTAAAATTAAATTATTGGGAAAAATGTAATTTAGAAATAATGATTTTTTTTTTAAATGTGTGGTTAGAAAAGGGAAATTTTTTTATATTTACTTGTAATGTTATATTATTGAAAAAAGAGTAACTAGGATGAGGACGAGGTAACCAGCAAAGTACTCTACCATGTTCCCGCTGCATCTTATCCCTTCCCTCTACTGATTCTTTCAATTTGATACTATTATATGGCCCTTCAAGCCTGCTCATGCAACGACCAATTCGTTTAACTTCAACCTGTCTGTACTGTGCATTACATGTTCGACTAGTGATGTCAATGTGAACGACACTCGCCTAGATTTAAGAAGCTTGGTGGGGCAAAAATAAACTAAATTCAAAAACAATACATAATGCTCGTCCCAAATTGAGATAGGCTTGTGATCCATAATGAATCGAGACTAGACCTATACAAAAAGCAGGACAACGCATGCCCACAAGTGGGCCCTTTTGTATCTCTTTCATTGAGGATTGACTCGATTGATACCACTAATTATCTAGGTTGTTTTATTGATTACTTATAGGCATCATTTTCATCCCCATTCCTTTTCACCTCAAATTATTATTAAAAATTTGACTTACTAAAGAAAAAGTTACTTGAATATAACTTATAAGCCAAAAAAATTATATCAACAGAGGATAATTAACTTTAACCTAACAAGCAACAATGACTTGGTCTTCATAATCCCAGCTCTTGTCTTGGCAAAGAGTAGTTTTAAATTAATTAACTAGTAGAAGTGAAAAAGTGGTTCGTGTAAGTGTTATGGCCTAGGTCCAATCAACCTTGGATATAAATACTTTCAATATATAATTAATGCAATTTAATGGCAGATCTATTATTTAATTAGAATAATTCTACTCCTGCAAAGTTGGTGTACAAAAGTGGAGTACTAAAATGCATTGGCAAAATCTGAAATCTTGATTTCAAATAATTTAAAAATTTATTTGTGAAATAATTGGTGTAGATTTGATTTTGTAACCTAACTTTGTAAACCTCCTTTGTTATTGTAGCATAACTCATTTAATTAATAGACAATTAAATTAAATAATAGAGTCCGTAGATTCAAATTTTCGTAATTTGTTAATCACAAGGAATAATAATTGTGAGATACAAAGTACATATGATTAAGTCTTAAATCGTCCGTGGTCGTAAATAATAACGAGATACAAATATCGACGTGTGGTATTTCTTACTTGTGAAGTAAGCAACTGATCTCACAAACTAAAGTGTGATGACACTTAAATGAACACGTTGGTGTTTTGTTATAGAACAAAACATTGGTGACCCACCTAGAGATTTCACATGGATAACTATCTGAGTGTCAGTGGTTAATTTGTAACATTCAGTAATGGAATTGGTCTTTTAAGATCGTCATGGTACCTTATATGAGGACAGTCATACTTTGGCGGTGTTGGATGTTACTCTGCCAAGGGCCACTAATACGGCATCGTTTATGTATGTCAAGAATCATATAAAGGTTGTGAATGACTAATATATGATTCGTTACTCTTAGATAGTAAGAGATTATGATCTGTGTTTCCTTCAATTAAGTCGATACTGAAATCCTTGGCCAAGATGTACTCATAAGTCGAAAAGGAGTTTTCGACTTATATTGACTTAATAGTTGGGTGAAAGATACGACGATAATCGAGATTGACACATTTCTATATCTTGTAATTGATCGGATCATATTGATGAAGGGATTACGATTTCAAGGTAAACGAACGAGTTTGGTTTTGTCATACCACGTGACATTTCCCGTCACATGTATTGTCCTAATACATTGCTAGATGTCAATCTGGGACGACGAGTGTGAATTGGTGATAAATTAAAAGGGTGTTATAATTTACCAATTTAGATTATATCAAAGTAATATTTGACGTCGTTTAGCATCGTGATCGGGAACCTGATGGATCGCACACAAAAGAGAATCGGAATATTGTAATTTGTCAATTAATTAATTTAACAATCGTTGGATAAATTAATTAATTGGGTTGGTTATTTATAGGCATGAATTAATTAATTGGATTAATTAATTTACGGATCGGATTTAATTAAATAGATTAATTAGATATTGGATCGGGTTAGGCCAAGCTCGTTTGGGCTTATATAAATAACTGATTAGGGTTTATAATTTTGTAGAGAATTCATTATTCTTGCTAGCACAAGAAAAAAGCTATAATCCTACAATCTTGTTCTCCGTGTGGATCACCGTTGGAGGCTAAACAATTGAAAATCTGTGATTGGCAGATCAAGATCGTTGGAATGCAAGAAAAGTAAAGGAGTTTGCAGATCTAGGAAAAGGTACGATCTTTTTCACAATTTCTATCTATACACAAGAAGATTCTCGATGGGAATCGAAACAACGGTTAATATAGTACACTGAGTGAACAATTTTGTCTAATTTTTTATTCTACTGAAAAGAGGAAGAAAGTAAGTGTAAAGTGAAATAAAGATTGAGAATCAAACATAAATAGTTAATATAGTACAATTTAAAATAGTCATGAATTTGTTAATTTTCCACACGGCGTTGATTTAATTAGTTAACTAGTACAAGTGGAAAAGTAGTTCATTTACTTTCTTCATGTGATTAAACAACTTACCTTTCTCCATGGATTATTTCTATTCAAAAGGTCGAAATGAATCTAAGTAGAAATGTCTTTTATGTTACATATTTTGAAAATAATAAGTGAGACCTTTAATACAACTTCAACAACCCTCTTTATATTTATTGCCACCAATATACTTCATTGCTCCACCGTACTATAAACGCACACCAATTAATTAATGTTTTTGATAAGGTTGTGGTAGAAAAAATAAAAAATGTTTCAAAAGTATAGTCTTTTATGTCATTTTCTTACTTCCATATTAATAAATAGACAAATTACTTCAAATATGATGGCGCAAAAAAGAAAAAGAAGAAATCGTAGTCACCATCGTATTTATTCATTAATTATGTCTTCCCATGGGATTTTCTCTTGAAGCAATAACTTGTCGATCTAGTCGCCACTGGTACAAAATAAGAAACGATCTCTCCAACACATAAATGGCTGGGAGTTCACGTTCTCACCCACTTCTTTTCTTATTTAACTTACTTTCTCACTTTTATTTTATCATTCTCCTTTGTTTTTCGTTGTAAACCAAATAGTTTCATAGAAAGTAGCAAAAAATTGAATAGTACTAGAAGTGTGATAAAATAGCAAGTTTTGACTCCCTACATTAGGAAATTCAGATTTGCTCTTTATTTTTAATTTTAAATATAGAGAATTCATTTGCAGTTCTAGAAAATTTACTTTTAATGGCAATAATTTTCATTGTGAATGTCAAGACTTTATCGTGGAATATAATCAAAGGCCAAAAAAATTCGTCACAGGATAGTCGTAAAGGCCCATCATAAAATGTATGTTTGTCATTGAACATAAATATTCAACCTACAAAAATAAAAAAGATAAAAATAAAAAGAGATATTGTTGTTCATATTCTTCAAATTTGGTTGTCACATTTCATTTAAACGACAAGAATGTGGTTGATGATTACCAATAACAAAATTTTTGTTCTTAAAATTTCATAAAAAACCAAGTTTTTTTTTAATAAACTCATTTAAAATATATATTATTAACATCAACAATTTGAAATTAATTTTGTTATTAAATTTAATTTTGTTTTGTTTTTACCTTGTCGTTAAAAAAAAATGTCATTTTTATCTATTAATGTCAAGAATATAACTTTAATATACTTATAATGAACATAAATGACACTCAAATACAAACTTCAAAAACTGCCCCCTGCCCCCCAAAAAAATTAAATATAAGGCCTACATATCTATGTATATCAAGATAGTTGTGACACGCGATCAATCCCGAATCAC